TCTACCCTGAACCCCCTCCCATTCAACGCCCCACCTCCAGCCGGGACCCAAGCCTCCGGGCTCCCAGCCCGCCCCTCCTCCCGGCACTCCCTGAATGATCTCTCTCCTTCCCCCCCACCCCGAGGTACGGGGTTCCAGGAAAGGGGAGGGGTAGTGGGGGAGGGGGGCTTCAGAAGGGGGGGAACACCCCAGATCTCAGGGAACCCCGCCCCCTGCCCTTCCCTCTCCCCTAGAAAAGGGGGGGCCGTCTCACCCCGAGCCCCCTTGGAGACACCCCCCCTCCCAAAAGCCATGTCCATCCAGCCCTTCCCCCAAAACCTAGCACAAAACGGGGTTCACAAGCCATGGTCGGGGTCCAGGGGGCAGAAATGGATCTTCTTGGCAATAAGCGGACTCTGGGACTCCAGCCCCCTACCCCAAAATTGAAGCGCTTCCGTGAACACTCCCGTCCTCCACAGGGGGAGGGGAACAGGCGGGACCCCTCATAAGCACTTTGGTTTTACCGCCTGCAACCTCACTGTGCCCGCCCCGCACCATGCTCCTGCCCCAGGTCTAGCAGGGCCCATCGTAGGGGGCAGCACTTGGAGGCATCTCTGGCACTTGGGTGGGACCAAGTAGATGCCCCTTATAGTCCCTTCCCTCACCTTCTTCCTCCCCAGTCCGGATTCCATTCTTTTCACCAGCACCCATCGCCCAAGGGGTACTGAGGGGGGCAAGGGGTGTCTAGTCAAAGCCCACCCCCCGCCTCGCCTTCCGCAAAACTGTGAGCAAAAAGCAATAGAAGCCTCACCTCCCCCTCCCCTTTCCGCAGGATTTGCAGTCTGTAGCCTCCCCCTTCCCAGCTCCTAGACCTCATGGCTGTCCCCTTCCACCAGACACCACAATACAGCTGGGGTGGGGGCGTAACCTCCCCCGCCACCGGTGATTTCCGTCTTGTCAGCCCTTCCAGCCACTGACCTAGGAGGAGTATGGCCCCCCCCACTGGCCTTCCCCTCCTCATCAACTCTTTCTGCTTGATGATGTAGCAACCCTGGCCCCCGAACCATGTCTTTCCCTTTTCCCTCTCCCTAACAATAAAGTCTGGATTCGTTGCCCTCCGTCCCCCAGACTCAGACTTCCAATCTTTGCCTGCTGTTTGGGGGAGCAGTAACCTTAGGATATGTATCTGTATGGTGAGGGAGACAGGCACAGAAGAAAGAGGAGCAGAAGAAGGAAGGGGTTAGGAAAACGGAGGTAGGAGGAGGCAAGATCTGAGGCTTGGGCAAAGCTAGCAGAGGCTCCCCATTCCACTCACCCCCGCCTCCGGTCCAGCTCAAGTGTAAACTTGGCCCTGGGGAATCTCTGAGTCCAGGTCTCGGATTGCAGCCACGGCTGTTGAGAATTCACCACAACTCCACCAGGTGGCGCCAACAACATGAAAAAGGAGTCTTCCCCTAGCCTAAGACTCTCCGGTGGTGTGTCTCAGGAGTCTAACGAAATAGGTCTAGACCCAGTCTAAGACAAAGGAAAAAAAATCAAGGTTTTTGTGCATCTAATGGGAAACCCACGCCAGAAACAGGCAAGGCATGAAAACTAGTGGGGACAGGGACTGGGAATCAGAGCTCTACACTCTGCTTTGCCCCATATAAACAGTGTCCTTGGGTTAGTACTTCCCCTCTCTGGACCCTAGTTTCCCTATCTGCAAAATGAGCCCATTTGGGTCTCTTAAATAAATTTACTGAGACTTCATGTATCCAAGACCAAAAAACTGGGATTGTATTATTTACATAGATGCTAGAATACCTTCTCATCTTGTTCCCTAAGTGTTCTGTGAAATAAGACAGCACACCCTTCTCTCTTACATAATGGGGGGTGAGGGTGAGAGAGAGATCTTCTCTATCTGCAGAATTCGGTTCAACCACACACTCCCAAAATTAGCCAGTGACTCTCTTGACCCCCTCCCTCTAGCCCTTCTGGGTGGCAGAAAGGTCAAACAAAAAAGGCTAGACCGGAACCCAGAATCACCATGGGATCCTCCTGAGTTGCATCATCGCTCATTTCCCACTTTCTACCCTCTCAGTCTTACAGAAGAAAGGAAGAGGGAGGGTGATGGTTGTTAAAGAGGAAGGAGAGGGGAAATGGGGCCTCCTGGGTTTGAACTGTGAAGTCTAGGTTCAGAAATGAAACCCAACAAGGAGTTTGGGGTTTATTTGTTTTTGTGTTCAGGTCTTTCTAGCTAAAAAAAAAAAAGGGGGGTGGTGGCAGAGACTGGATATTCAGATTTCTGGCCCTATAGGAGAGTGAGTGGAGAAAAGCAGGGGCTTGGTCACATATGTGAAGAGATAGGGGCTAGAAGAAATTGAGGCTAGAGGTGCTAGGATACTAGCATGCCCCACGACCACCTCAAACCTAATCTAAAACTCAATTTCATGATTTACCCCTTCCCTAAAACTGTTGTGCTCCCCACATTCTCTATCTTGTTTTTTATTTTTTTATAAAAATTTTTAAGAGTTTATTTATTTAGTTTTAGAGAAAAGAGAAGGGAAGGAGAGAGAGGAAGAGAAACATTAATGTGTAGTTGTCTCTCACATGCCCCCTGCTGGGGACATGGCCTGCAACCTAGGCATGTGCCCTGACAGGGAATTGAACCTTGATCCTTTGGTTTGCAGGCCCACACTCAATCCACTGAGCTACATCAGCCAGGGCTCTATCTCACCTTTTAAAGCTCTCTTTTGCCCTGGCTGGTGTGGCCCAGTGGATTGAGTGCCAGCCTGCAAACTGAAAGGTTCCCTGTTCGATTCCCAGTCAGGGCACATGCCTGGGTTGCAGGCCAGGTCCCAGGGGCATGGGAGGCGTGAGGAAGGAACTGATGGATGTACCTCTCAGCATTGTAGTTTCTCTCCCTCTCTGTCTCCCTCCTTCCCCTTTCTCTAAAAATAAATAAATAAAACCTTTAAAATATAAAAAATTTCAAAAATAAATATTTATTTATTGACTCCAGAGAGAGAGAGAAACATCAATGTGAGAGAAACATCTATCAGTTGCCTCTCATATGTGCTCCAATCCAACCCACTACTTAGGGGTGTACCCTGACAGGGAATTAAACCTGCAACCTTTCAGTTTACTGTAACTTAGCTCCAACCAAGTGAGCCATAGTGACCAGGGCTCCCTACCTTATTAAAAGCACTACCATCCACCAGTAAAAATGGGATTCATCCTACTCTTCCCTCTTTCTAACCCTTCATCTGCAAAGTCACTACTAAGTCCTGTTTGACTTCTTAGCAACCTATAGATTCTGATTACTGTTCTCTATCCCCACAACCACTGCCCTAACCAGAAATGGCTACATAATTTGTGGGTCCAGTGCAAAATAAAAAACTAGGGCCCTTTGTTCAAAAAAGATCTCAAGCCCTGGCGGGTGTGGTTTAGTTGGTTGGAGCATCATCCTGTAAACCTGAAGGTCGTGGGTTGGATTCCAGGTCAGGGCACATACCTAGGTTGCAGGTTCACTCCCCTGTTGGGGCACATTCAGAAGGCAATGTTTCTCACATTGATGTTTCTCTCTTTCTGTCTCTCTTCCTCTGTCTGGAATCAATGAATATATGCTCAGGTTAGGATTTTTAAAAAAAAAGACCTCAAGATAGTGACTACAGAACAGTAAACCAAGTACTGGATCCTTGGCGCTATGCCATGACACGAATAGCATGCCCATGGGGCTGACCCTGACCCTGACTCAGGCCCTACTTCTCCCTTGTCTGAACTGGTTCCTCCTTACTGCTCTCTCTCACTTCTGGCCTGCGTGCTTTCACTCCCAACAGCTTTCTTAGTGTTAACCTCCCCCTTGTCTTCAAGATAAAACCCCAGCTTAACCTGATATACAAAGCCTTCCTTGATCTCAGCCTTGCTCACTTCTCCAGGATCTTCTCTGTTCTTCCTTACTTCACACTCTTTGTTCACCTCTTCCTAAACCGCTGTGAACTCTGTGCATCCTGTGCCCTTTGTCTAGAATGTCCTACTTATATTCCCCAAAATACTCCTGTTAATCATTCAAAATCTAGCACAGATATCTCTGTGGACCCTTTCTTGACCTCCTCCTTAACAGCTAGTTACTTTCCTCTAAGTTCCTGATATACTTTATAGCAAGAGTTGCCAACTTTTTCTTAAAGGGTCAAATAGTAAATATTTTAGGTTATGCTGGCCAAGAGGCAAAATTGAGAATATTATGTAGGTACTTATATAACCATTCCAATTATGACCATTTTAAAATGGAAAAAAACATTGTTGGCTCATGGCCCACACAAAAACAAATGACAAGCCAGCTTTGGCCCATAGGCCAAAGTTTGCTGACCCCTGCTTTAGAGAATCAATTAAACATTTATACACTTACACATCTGCCTCCTCCACTAGACTATGCACAAGCCCATTTACCAAAACTTCTTGTATCCCCAGTGTCTAGTTCAGAATCTGGTGAATAGTAGGCACTAATACACATTTTTTTTAGGTTTATTTATTTTCTTTTTTGAGAGAAGGGAAAGGAAGGAGAAAGAGAGGGAAAGAAACTTGAATGTGTGATTGCCTCTCCCATGCCCCCTACTGGGGACCAGGCCTGCAACCTAGGCATGTGCCCTGACTGGGAATCAAACCAGTGACCTTTCAGTTCCCAGGCCAGCACTCAATCCACTGAGCCACACTAGCCAGGGCTCAATATGCATTTATTGAGTGAATGGATGAGTGCTTGAACTGCGCCCTGTGGGGAGTGAAACCAGAATTCTGACTGTTTCATTTCCTACCTTACTTCATCTGGCTCCTTTTCTCAGATGTGCTAGGATATCACATGGGACCCTCTGACTTGAACCATCTCCATGTCCTGGACAGAGGGAAACTGTGCTCCCCCAAAACAGAACCAAAGCTCTGGGGTGCCTAGAGTTGCTCCTAGAACTTGGTCTTGTCCTTTGGCCCTTGCTGAGTGGCCTAGATATTCGGATGCTCTCTCTCCATGCCTCGATGATTCTCAACAGTGATCTTATAAGTGTTTTGCTATGCAAAGACAGGAAGAAAACAGAGCTTAGGTATCAGGAAGAAGAAAGGGAAAAATGAGATGGCTTTGGTATAAATAGAGAATTTCAACAGAGAAGTCCAGATTTCACTAACCAAAGCAGACTAACTAAAGCAGAACAAGTAGGACCGGAGGTGGGGAAAGAAGTGGCTGAGATTGAGTAACTGGGGAGTTTCTTATTCTTTCTGTCTAGCATAATAAGGGACATGAAAGCAGGGTACCCCCTGTTTGAAACCTGACTGCCCACTAGAAAGGACTGCCCTTTCAATGAGTTTGATTTCTTCTTCCACTGGAGGAAGAACTTAAGACTGGGAGATTCAGGTGAGTAATATGGTGGGTGTACTTTTCTTTCTCTGTCTCTTCATCTCACAGGTGGTAAAAACAGGGAAAAAAATGAGGTCAGCCTGTGTGTGTAGTGAAAAAGGGCAAAAATGACTATAGCAGCATCCTGGATACAGAAAGGGGACTCCTGGGTGGTCTTAGAGGGTAGGGAAAGAATTTTAAAACTTTGAGGGTACTGAGGTTACTGAGAGTACCTGGATGGGTGTTGAATGAGGCCTGGAGTTTGGAGTGGACAGAGATTACAAGATATTTAGGTAAGAATTTGGGGAAACCTTTGAGAATGGGAAAGGTCTAAGAGAGTCTAAGAAGAGAGTTAGAATTGGGAATCAGGGTAAAGAGGCTTGGGAACGGCTGGAAGCTCTTCTGAGCTCTCACAGCCGTTCAGGTACCCAGGGGCCCAGAAGTGTTTAAGAGATTTAAATTCAAAGTCAAGTTCTAACTCCCTCTTCCTCTTCCACCTGCCCCCACCTCAGCCTCCATCATGTGGAACGCCTCTGATGCCAACTTTTCCTGCTACCATAAGTCTGTGCTGGGCTATCGTTATGTGGCAGTTACCTGGGGGGTTGTGGTAGCTGTGACGGGCACTGTGGGCAATGTGCTCACGCTGCTGGCCTTGGTCGTCCAGCCCAAGCTCCGTACCCGCTTCAACCTGCTCATCGCCAACCTCACAGTAGCTGATCTGCTCTACTGCACTCTTCTCCAGCCCTTCTCTGTGGACACCTACCTCCACCTGCACTGGAGAACTGGCGCCACCTTCTGCAGAGTTTTTGGTCTCCTCCTCTTTGTGTCCAATTCCGTCTCCATCCTCACCCTCTGCCTCATTGCTGTGGGACGCTACCTCCTCATTGCCCACCCGAAGCTCTTTCCCCAAGTATTCAGTGCCAAGGGGATAGTGTTGGCACTGGTAGGCACCTGGGTGGTAGGTATGGCCAGCTTTGCTCCCCTCTGGCCCGTCTATATCTTGGTGCCCGTAGTCTGCACCTGCAGCTTTGACCGCATCCAAGGCCAACCCTACTCCACCATTCTCATGGGGATCTACTTTGTGCTTGGGCTCAGCAGTGTCAGCATCTTCTATTGCCTCATCCACCGCCAGGTGAAGCAATCAGCACGGGCACTGGATCAGTACAGGCTGCGCCAGGCAAGTGTCCTCTCCAGCCACGTGACTGGGACAGATGAAGCCATGCCCAGTCATTTCCAGGAGCTGGACAGTGGGATGGCATCAGGAAGTCCTAGTGAGGGGATTTCGTCTGAGCCAGTCAGTGCTGTCACCACCCAGACTCTGGAAGGAGACTCGCCAGAAGAGGGGCGCCAGATCAACAGCAAAGTAGCTAAGCAGATGACAGAGAAAAGCCTTCCACAGGCACCTGCTGATGCCAGGCCAACTAAAGGAACCCAAAAAATTCAGGACTCTCCATCAGAGTTTAGGAAGGTGACTTGGATGTGTTTTGTGGTGTTCCTTTGCTTTGCCCTGAGCTACATCCCTTTCTTGCTGCTCAATATCCTGGATGCCAGGGTCCAGGCTCCCCGGGTTGTCCACATGCTTGCTGCCAACCTCACCTGGCTCAATGGTTGCATCAACCCTGTGCTCTATGCAGCCATGAATCGCCAGTTCCGCCAAGCTTATGGCTCACTCCTAAAACGAGGGCCCCAGAGTTTCCGTAGGCTCCAGAGTTTCCACAGGTTCCATTAGAGCTGTGTTCCAGTCACCAGAATCTGGGACTTTTTCATCCAGCACTAGAGTGGCCAATTGGTATGGGAGTAAATGAAAGTAAGATGTGTAAGCATTTTCATAGACGACCTCCCCCTAAACCCCAAACCAGGCCTCTCCCTTGCTGAATGTCTCAGCCCTAGGCTCCTCAAGGTGTATTATTAATTATCAATAAAAGAATTCCATCCTTATAATGCTCAGGTGTCATCTTTGGGGTAGAAGGAAATAAGCCAATGTTGGTTTGCAGCTGGAACTTAATAGTGGAGGGCTTGGGGAACCCAGGTCAGAGCAGGAGCAGGAAGCTGTGGGCCTGTGATAGAGTCTTTCAGCTGAGGGGTTTGGTCAAGAGGATTAGGCTTCCTTTCCAACTTCCCAGAAATGGCTCCTGCCTCCTACTATTGCTGTCAGGATCCCTCAAAGCCTGCAAACAGATGTTCTTCAGCTCAAAACAAAATTTCAATCCAGCCTTTTAAAAAGATCTTATTTATTTTAGATATAGGGAAAGGGAGGGAGAAAGAGAGGGATCAAAACATCAATGTGTGATTGTCTCTCACAGGCCCCATACTGGGGACCTGACCTGGCCCACAACCCAGGCAGGTACCCTGACTGGGAATCAAACTAGTGACCCTTTGGTTCACAGGCTGGCGCTCAATCCACTGAGCCAAACCAGCCAAGGCAATCCAGTTTTTTAAAAAAATTATCGATTGACTTTAGAGAGAGGAAAGGAGAAAGAGAAACATCAATTTGTTGTTCCACTTATTTATATATTTATTGGTTGATTCCTGTATTTGCCCTTACTGGACATCAAACCCCACAGCCTTCGAGCAACAGGACAATGCTCTAACAAACTGAGCCTTTGCCTTATCCAAAAAGAATGGCCATAAGAGAGGACTCTTGCTCTGTGGAAATGGAACTAAGCTTAGCTGAGGCAATAACAGATAGGTAGTTGCCCTGGTAGGATCACACTGGTTGGAGCTAATTCACCTTACCCTTCACATTTCCCCGAGACTTGCTCTTGTCATCCTGGGTTATAAACGCAGAACAAAGACTCTAGTTAAGAGGGCTCAGGGGCTAGGTTGAGGGGAGATCACACTATTTTTTCCTCCAGACTGACCAATGTCACCCTAGTGCATGCACACACATGAATTTACAGCACCTGTGACCACCAGGTGACGCTGGTTCTCTGTGTTTCCTTTCCCTGGTGAGAACAGTAGATGTCAGAGGGACTGGGAGTCCAGAGGTACCCTCTCCCCTCCCACCAGCAGGGGTGGAGAACTGTATCTGCACCCCTCCCTTTTCCTCAAACTTAAGAAGAAATGTGAAGAATTATACTTGAAGAATAAATGTATATTTATTATTCATGAGATATTTATTGTCTGCATGGTTAAGGTGGTGGAGTAGGGTAGGCATAAGGCTGACACTGGGTATAGAATGAGAATCATGTTGACAGTGACACTGCTCTGGCTGCATGCTGTTCCCTCCCTGCCTCCACAGTTTGAGAGAACGAAGTAATGTCCAGAGAGAATTCAGGCAAGGGAAAAAAGAACTATAGTGAGGTGGGCAGATCTATACTCTCACATTTAACTTAACTTCCAGGGCCCAGATATCCTGCCTCCTAATCCAGAACATGTGCTTCTGAAGTGTCCTCTTCCACAAAAATCACAATGGCCTAAACAGAATCAAGTTCAGTCTGGTGAGGCAGGGGCCCAGATGGGTGGGATGAACAATAAAAGACCAAAAAGAACATGTATCTGGGAGTGTAGAGACCAGGGTTTCAGTCAAGGTTCTCTGATAATTATTTCTGTGAACCAGAGCAGGACCCTTGACTCTTCTGGGCCTCAGACTTTATTTTCTGTAAAAAGGTGAGAGTGAGGTGCACTCTCATGTGCCCCAGGACTGTATTAAATCCTGTAAATATTGTATATTATTTTGTGTAATCTCCACAAAATTTACCATAGGTATCTATTATAATATCTTGCTTACAAATGAAAAAAAAGTGAAGTACAATTTGAGTTAAACAATTTGCCCAAGAGAGAGAGTTAGTAAGTGGTATGACCATGATTTGAAGGCAGAGAGTCTGAGCACAGTACCAACTATTACAGAACGGCAATCTTTTTAAAACTGGAATCAAGAGACCAGCTGAACCCTAGGTCCTGCTCATTCTAAGATTCTGAAAGTTGACAATTCTCTGAAGCATTGTAAAGGTGTTCAGTTTTCATATTCCTTAAAAGCAATTCAAAAGTTTTAGCAAGTAGAAATGAGTAGCAATAGGGATTGAGATTAGACATCAGGAGGGACTTCCCAATTATCAGTCACTGAGGGGAAAATTACTTAAAGGGACACAAGACGAAACTCTGGAGTCTGAGGCCTGAGAGGACAGATCTTAGCAAGAAAGTAACCCAGTCCTCTCTCACCCTCCACAACTCATATATTCACCCCTGCCCCTAATTTCATTTAGGGTTGAGTGAGGGAAGAGAGGTGGGAGATTCTTTTTTTTTTTTTTCCAAGTCTAATAGGAATTCTTTTTTTTTTTAAGATTTTATTTATTTATTTTTAGAGAGGGAAAGGAGGGAGATAGAGAGAGAGAGAAAAACATCAATGTGCGGTTGCTGGGGGTTAGGGCCTGCAACCCAGGTATATATCCTGGCTGGGAATGGAACCTGCGACACTTTGGTTCGCAGCCTGCGCTCAATCCACTGAGCTACGCCAGCCAGGGCTTGGGAGAGTCTCTCTCAGGCTTTCTCACTGGTGCAGGTGTGAGTGGCTCGCGTGTCCACGCATGAAGTCCCTTATGATGCGGAGCCCACGCGTGTCTCAGGGGAGTATGTGCATATGGGGGCCCTCCTGAGTGTGAGTCAGTGTTTATCTTCTAGTTGCTTTATCTGTGTTAGTCTACCACCTGAGCCCGAGCTCTAGAGCTGAATTTCTGACGCTATTCCTCAAGGCTTCTCTTTTTCTTTCTTCATCTGTCCGTCTGTCCTGTAGGCTGTCTTCCTCTCTTGTACCTCTGTTACCATCCTTTTTCTCAAAAGCTCCTTCTCTCCCTCCTCCCGCTCCACTCTCCCCGCGCCCTTCCCCAGTCGCCCGCCCCGCCGCTCTTGCTTGTCCGCACACTCTCTCTCTTTCGCTGTCTCCTGCGGACAGATTTATGGTCAACTCAGGGCTTTTCATTGGCCAAACGCTGACAGGATTTGATTTAAGGCCGCCTCTCATAGGCTGAGCTTGACAGCCCGATTTACGAGTCACTCTACCATTGGCCAAACTACCTTGGGCCTGATTTATGGCTCAGTGCCTGTGGGGAAGGGGGGCGCAGCTGAGGAGAGGGGCTGGCCCTCCCCCTGCCACCGCTTCCGTCTCCCTCTCGCTAGCTTTTTCTCCTCTTTCTCTCCCTCCCCTCAAAGAACCGCAGTCCCTCTACCTGTTCCGCAAGTCCCTCCTCCCTTCTCTTTCACCCAGCGGAAGGGGAATATGGGGTGTGTTTGTGGTGGGAACTGAAGCAGAGGATGGGGTTTGAGGGGGTAAAAGTGGGCGGAGGCATCTGAGGGGTGGGAGTTGGGGGTAGAGCAGGGACAGAAGAGACGATTGAAGAGGGAGAGTGGATATTGAACTGAAGAGCTAAGGGGAAACTGAGGAGGCCAAAGGGGTGACAGAAAAAAAAGGAAGGCTGAGGAGAAAAGACTGAGGGTGTGAAAAAGGAGGTGATCTGAGAAGGAGATCGAAAAGAAAGGGCGCAATGAAGGAGTCAAATGGGCTGAAGCAGGGAGATCCGGGAACTGAGAGAGACTTCTTTTCAAACACCACTATCCAGATTGAATTAAGAGGGGAAATTTGCTCTTCAGACAATGACTTCGAAAAGGGCGAGGCTGAGAGGAGCAAAGACTTGGAGAAACGCTAAATGAGAGGTGTGAGGGGGGCAGGAAAGAACTGGAAGGTAATATCGAAGAAAAGAGGAAGGGAGAAGGAAGGAGAATTAATGGAGAAGAAAGAACTAAGGTTGGATTTTTATTTGTTTGTGGGGGTGTGTAGGGACAAAAGTCTAACTCCCAGAGGAACTATTGAGAGAAACAACCTACTCCTCTCAAGGAAGACTCACAGGCGCTGGCTAGAGGACAAGTTAGGTGCTTCCCTCAGGAGGTGTTCTGCGACCTCAAGGTTACAGTAGGCTCCCCACTTGCTACACCTCACTCCTTTCCCTTGCCCAGCCTCCAATCAGGGCTGGCCTTCATGAATTAGGAATACTTATGCTTCTTTGAGAGTGAGGTTTGGAAGGTGATAAATAAGGGGTGAGGGTGCAGCTGGGGGGCTCCTGTTTTTAGCGTGGCCACTTTACCAAAGCCCCCAACCCACCATTTCCCTCTTATCCTGAGCCAGAGAAGGGAGCACTAAGGGAAGTAGAGAATTAGTTTCAAATATCAGGTAGGGGGTTAACTCTCCTGGAGAAACCCTCAGAGGATGACTACAGATATCTGCAGCAGACAGGATTGAAGGCTGACAGAAAAGGAACTTTCCAGGCATCCTGGCATTCACATAGCCCCAGGAGTGCAGTTACAGCATTTCTGCAGAAGATAGGGAGAAATAAGGAGAAGCCAGTTTTGCCTTTGCTGTCCTAAGTTGCTGAAAAATAGGGAAATTGTCAGGAAATTCAGAGGCAGGTTTCTTTGGCATGTCACCTCCCTCACAGGGAGAGGAAGATTTTAAATCCCCCATTAGCCTCGCGCCCCACAACCTCACCACAGTCTGGGTACCTGGGAAAGGAGGCTAGGAATGTGGGGCATCTCCTAGGAGTCTCAGCCCCCAACCTGTCCACCCCCACTGCTGGCTGAGATGAAAAACCCCTTGCCCCAGGCATCCATGAAAGGAAGGATGAGAGAGAATCTGTTTGGGGATCCACATGTCTTCTCCAGCACTCAGCTCCAAGAGCCATGTGTCTCTCCCCAGCCCACTCAGGGGGCTTGCTCTAGGCTTGGGTAGGTTGTGAACAAAAAAGAGGTCCATGATATAAGGTGGGATTTTAAAAGAACAGAACAGAGAGAGCTAGGGAAGAGCTCTCTCCACCAAACACACAAGAATGGCCACAGTGCAAGTGTGCCCGCACGCATCAGGCTGTGCTGCTTGGAGTGGGAGAAGGGAGGGAGAGAACGGTCTAGACTGGCCCTTTAAGAGCCACTTAGGGTCAGA